TATATACATCACGAGAAGATATGTCGTAATCTCCCGGATGCTGCTAAGCTAAGTTGGTTGGACTTACCTAGTCGGACAATTGTCCTGGGTAAACATACTCGTCAACAACTTCTAGCGAAAAGCACGTTGACATGGACGTTACACATGATCTTTTTCTTGTCTATTTAATACCCATCTGTTGGGAGACATTATAAAGGTTATTGAACATAGTGCTAATGCCCTCCAGTGATTCTGCCATAATGGCTATATCGTCGACAAATTAAAGGTGAGTGATCTACTTGCCATTGATTTAGATACCGTATGCTTTCCAGTCCAATAGCTTCAAATTTCTTCCAATTCCAATGCAGCGGTAAAGAGTTTTGGGGACATTATGTCACCCTATCTCACACCTCTGCAATTGGATAGATTTCGTACTTTCGTGTTTTACTCTGATAGCCAACGTAGCCCTACTTTACATATACTTCATATTTCGATTACTTCATAATTCGTATTTCGATATATGTACCGGTAAACGGAGTGTGACGACCTGTTAAGACATGCAGGAAGTCGATGGATGCAGGTGGCTCAGGACCGTGCTTTGTGGCATTCTTTGGGGGAGGCCTATGTTCAGCAGTGGACTTGTGAAGGGCTGTAATGATGATGATGAAAAACGGAGTGTGGAGCGGCCACCCACTAGACGGAGTGACGACATGACAAGACATGCAAAAAGTCAATGAATGCGGAAGGCTCAGGACCGTGCTTTGAAGCACTCCTAGGAGACCTACGTTCAGCAGTGTACTTGTGGAGACTCCCGTCAACACCGTGTCCTCCTCATAAGGGTTTGTCAAAGTTGTCAAGACCGTAACGCCAAAAACTAAAAAAACCAAAAGCCAGTCATTCCAATTCATGTGATTTATTTCTTGAATCTCAAAAGGTTTTCTATCGCAACAATTACAATCCGTATTATACTAAAAACTTATCACACACTTATCAGAAGTTGGCAGGCATTCTAAGCATTAGAAAAAATCGTTGTTGAGCTGAGTATATTGTGATTATTGCAATGGATTGCTACGTATATTTAGTGCTTTTTTTATTAAGTCCGCGACACAGTCACAAGTAACTTTCTTTGGATCCAAGCATGAGACAAATGTTTCTGATTATCATACTGCACCTACCCATCCGAATCTGAAAATTAAGTTCGCAGTGATCTTTCAGGAAGTGTATGGATAAATTTGCTTATTTAATTTAATAATAATAATAAAATCAGAAGGGATTTATTTTTCTGATGAAAAAAGGAAAACAAATTTACAATATTGGTATAAAAAATCACTAAATATAGGTATAGCTTTAGATTTGCAATCCATAACATAAAATCACAATAATATACGCTTTAGATACACAATGATTTTTTCTAATGCTTAGAATGCCTGCCAACTTCTGATAAGTGCGAGCTATTAATATTAAGTTTATTACGGATTGCAATTGCTGCATAGGAAACCCTTGAGATTGGAGAAATAAATCACATGAATTTGAATGACTGGTTTTTACTTCATTAGTGTATTTGGCGTTTCGGCGTGGTGAGTAGGTTGATCAGCGCAGTGCTTATATATCCTTGTATTGGTACAGAATAAATAATAGTTAAAAGAAATATAATGTAGCTTCCCAAAACTATTCGGCAGAATATTTTCTATCTATCAGCGTGGTGCACCCGAGTCATTGAGGAAAAGTTGACTAATTCCACTATACACCACATTTATGCCTTGATTTGACTGTGAAACTTAATTTAAATGTAGGTAAGTAGGTATGCGTATTTTACCAGGATGAATAAGTTGTATTGAATGGTTTTTACTTTTTACGATACCTAGATAGTGGGGTTTTGTCTTTTAATGCTGTTAGTTTTTTATATTTCTATTCGAAGTAAAATTATATTTTGGTAACGATGTATTCAATGCAATATTTTTAACATAATATAAGACAAGTTGCTTGGTACGAACTATTGTCATCACATGTTAAGGCATTAACATAAGTCGGACCTAGACATAAATCAATATTGCAAGTAAAGGTTCGAATCTCTTTACACTTCGTTGGCGCTGCACACTTGCGGCTGAAGTTGCGCCGAACTCCGCCCACTTCACCCTGCATACCCCTCGCACTAGAAAATTGGGTTAAACAGCACGCGGGGCTATACGTCGCACCGGAAGAGGGGATTTTGGGGTCCGCGGAACTGCGCTTTCACAATGAACGCGGGGCAGAGATGTGACTGAGTATTGATTGTCTTCAACCTAGAGACGCAGTTTCCTGCGGCGCAGTAATGCACACGCCCCTTCTGACCCAGGAATAGCAGTAATTTTGCTATATTTTAAATTGACCTTGGCCAAAATTTGTAACTGTGAACTGTGATACGCTTATATACCTGTCAGGTAACACTAGAAAATAAATCAATAATAGACCTGTCATGTTCGAAACTATCGAATCTGAGAATATTTTAATACGAAATTAACGAAAAATTGAAAAATTTGAAGTATCATTGACTTGCTAGCAATTGAAATAAAATTGTAGGTATAAACCAGGATTATTATACTAGTTTCATGTTATTTATTTGCGATATCTAAGACCAATAGAATTCTAAAAAGACGTCTGATTTAAAGTCAAGTTATAAGTTTCTCTACCAAATTGTTTAATTACCTACAATAACCTGCTTGTGAGTAATCTAGGCAGTTTTTGCGGAGGAGGTGGCAGGTGACGATGTGATCGATACAAGTGCGAGACTTATAACGCTAAATTTTTATTTATCTAAGTTTTGTAAAATTATAACTATATTATTTTGATTATTAATGTCGTTTGAAATTCCTCATTTATGAGTACTTGCAAATACATGTTTATTGTATGTAGCAAGTAGCAACGTAAATATTATGTTGCCAGCTCGCTAACTTTCCATTCGCCTGATGCTAGGTGCGCTAAAAATAGACATAACAATAAGCACTGCGCAAGCAAATCATTAGTCGATTTACATATAGTTGGATATTCTTACCATTGATTCTTTTCTATTTACAGATGTTCTCGCATTAAATTAAATATTAAAAGTTTCGGCTTGTAAAGAATAGTTATTTCTAGTAATGTATCTGTTATCTGGAAGTTACGTCAGTCAACCTTGACAAGAATATTTAAATGTTGAATATAATATTACATTAACTTGTGCATTCGTCACGTGCTTGTTTTTTTCCTTATCTTTGTTTTTGATTCAATCGAATACAGTGTGTTGATGTTGGGTTGCCTCTTTTGTTGTTACAATCGTTAGTTTAGTTCGGTGAAGTTGTTTATACTGGAGAGGCGGGGGCAGGAGGCTCCAAAGGGAGTACAGATACAGAGCGGCAACGCCACGACGATAATGCTAATATGCCCGATTGATACGTGTCACACATTTTTTTAACACATCGCCAGCTAAGAATAGTGCTTTGTACGCTGGCACTAGGTGATATGCATTGATTTGTATATCGGCTGAGGCGAATATAACAATTCGTAATCGATAACTGATGTTGGTACCTACCCCGTACTGTACCAAATGACATTAATGAACGAAGACAGTCAAAAAGAACTGCTTTGACAATAATTATTATAAAATAGAGCACATTTTAACTACATTAATATAAGTTTTCTACAGTCACATTACCCTTTTTTTGGCGTTTTTTACACTAGCAAAAAGGCTTAGCAGTGCTTAGTTCCAGTAAGAAAACATTGTTAAAACTGATTGTCGTTGTCGTTGACTGCTCCTGAAAGTATTATTTAAATTCATTTAGATAAAAATAGACAATAATAAACTTGACAAATATGTATTATTAGTAAATATCTAGGTAATATGCGTTTCATAGGATTATGCATTACCTACAAATTAAAGTAGGTTTCTAGTTGGTAGGTAGGTAATAATATTTTAATATAGGTAGGTAGGTACTTAACTTCTTTATTTCACGTACCTACCTGGGGTTATGTTATATGAAATAAACACAGTTGTTTTAGTAGCATTTATGTGTTTAAAATTATGATGTAGATTAAACATACGTAGGTACGTATGTACACCTCTCTTATATAAAAAAAAATCATCATTGCGTTGCGTAGTGCCTGAATACAAGTTAATCGCGCTCAGTGCTTGTTGGATACCTATATATTTAGGGCCTACTTGTGTACCTACATAAATACATTCTATCTGTGTTTATGTTGGTTCGTATACATCGCGGCACAGACGCCTACGTAACACGTCCAGTAAGCAGTTTGTTGTGGGGCACGAGCGCCGATATCACGTACTCGTTCGCCGCAGGTCGGTGGCACTCCGCCCGCCGCCCGCTGTTGCCGTTGCCACCGCACCTCATTGCGGGAATAATCGGTCAAGTCGATTTCGTACACACGTTACTAAACATAGATTCCAGTGAACAACGTGTCTTTTAAAAGTATATTCATTAATTGTAATAATATCTAAGTATTCGTTTTACACCACTGATTTTGCCCAATGAATACAAATAGGTACAACATATTCGGTAAAATTTTTGCATCATTAAAATACAAACATGGGCTATTGACCCAGCTAAATCTGCAATATGATTCTTCCGGATTGCGCTTTTGGAATAGGATTTTCAGAAATTATATATTAGTTATTACATAGTGTATTGTAAATTTTTACCATTGAACAATTGTCTCGGCCTTGTATCCTTGTAAAATGGCGCCTCACCCGTCGTTATTATTATTACATTCGGAGCAAACTTCGTGACGATCTCCATTCTCTACACCCCTCGCACTTCTCCCCGCGGATGCGTATCCGATTGTTGCGAGTCGCGACTGGCGTTTACAACTTGTCAAACTAGTTAGGTTATTCAGAATGTTAGTGAAAATTTTATAATGTTAGGTCTATAAAATGGACACAACATTTAGTATATAATTTGTAAGTGTAGATATCAGTAATTTTTAAGTGCTGTAAATTTGTGAAAAGCGATTGGGCGAGTCATATGTAAAGACGCCATCTTTCTTTACAGATGTCAGCTGGGTCACAAATTCAGATGGCACCACAAACTACTGTCAACACGGGGCAGCCACTACATAATCAGGACTCCAATATGAGCACAGGTAATTTGTGAATCGGTGATAAAAGTGGATGAAATATGTGATGTGACCAGTGACTTCTAGTGTTTTACAACAATACAACCTGGACATTCGAACTTATGTGAAAATTGTAAATAAAGGATTGTGACGTTGCCGTAAAGTGTAAAATGCCGGATAGGAATTGTGAATGTGCCAATGTTACTCATATTATTATCGGGATTATCACTTGTCATAATGCATGACTATGAAAATGGACTAAATCTAAACATCGTCGGACTACACAGCTTTATGTCAAAAAGTGAGTTTCATGAAATAAGATGCTTAGATAAGCAGTACGGACTTAAATTATTCTGTCAGAACATTAATTTTACAAGTTGACAAGTACCTATTTGAACATTTTCAATGAATATTGAGTATTTACTCTAAAGGCTGAATATTATGCTTCTTAGATGTCATAAATATTTATTTTTTTAAATATATTGTTTTTAATTACGTTATAAATTAGAGTTAAGAGATTACAGATGCATATATATATATAGTCTTATATCAATTATTGCAGGGTCTTCACATAGTGACAAAGAAATTGATGCTTTAACCCCTGAAAAATCTGCTGCTATGAGGGGCTCAACTGTTGGACCTGGTAATGCCCTTGTACCACCAAGTGGTGCTACACCTACAATAGCAGTGCCTGAAAGGAAAAGAAAGCGAAAAGGTATTATTTTTTCTAATAATTACTATTTTCTTAATTGTATTATATTTATTATTTATAGACATTAGTGTCAAGCTGATTATTTCATTAGGTAATTAAAAAAAATTTTGAATTACAGATGTAGAAATAATAAAAATAATTAAAAGGTACATAATCAATTTAAGGCCTGGCTGGGCAAAAATATCATATTTTAGAACATAATCTTGATGCTCAATACTTGATACTTCTTGAAATATTATATGCCCGGAAAAAATATGATAAATAATACTCAATTAAATTTTTAATTGAATGGATTTTTATAATCCTTTATATCAATTGAGGTAAATAAATTATAATTATATTACCCAGGAAAAACTTGAAATACGAGTTCTCGTTTTTTTAGCATTAACATTTCAGCAAAATATTTTAAATAAAGTAACTTTTTTGTAAATTGAATGTTGCACACTTACTTCATGCTGGACAGATATGCACGCAGCAGAGAACAGAGAAAAATCCTCACCTTAATGTGCTTAAAAATTTACTTGATATGTATAAATAGGTGGGGACCCCTTTCTATTTACGCTCATCAAAAAAAAAGATTAAATGTTTGTAATTATAATAATCAACATCAATGGTGAGTACATGGCACTTACCTTCGATTTACTGATGATAATAATAGTGTCGTTATGGCAGAATTGCTGTTCGATCTCACTCTCAGCACTATTTTGGCTAGCTGAATCAAGTTACTGAACTCTGTCTCCCAATGGATAGGTCTTACGATGTACATGGACAAAACAAAAAGTCACATGAAAGATCCTGTAACATGGATGACGATAGTATGACGATAGTTACTGGGAGCACCATATTCGAAGTTGTTGAACTGTTTATATAGGGCAAATTTTGACTTAAGATAATTCAACGCATCCAACTTAGTAAAGCAGCATTTGAGAATTACGATACATCTTGTCACATGTATATCAAAACTTGAAAACAAGACTATAAAAAAAGTGTGCTGGTGATACACAAGATTGCTCAGCAAGCTATGGAAAGGGCTATGCTTTGAGTTTTTTTTGTGTGATAGGCTTCGAATATCCATAGTAGAATAAGAGTAACCGACATAGCCCAACATTTTAGTAAGCTGAAGTGACAATGGGCCATCCATATAGCTCAAAGAATCGAAAACCACTGGGGAAAAAAGGTTTTTGGGTGGCTGCCTCATACTGGTAGTGAATTTTAAGGCTGCACACTAAATGGATGATGATTTTAAAAGATGCAATAATTTGATTGATGCAGAAAGCTGAGGACTGCTTTGTTGCATGTTCTCGCGTGTCCTCTGTTCAGCAGTGGGCTTGGAGGGCCTGTAATGTAATGGTGATAATGAAAAATAATAATGATAACCTTCATTTAGACTTGTTTCAGAATATTCTATGATTATACTACAAGTCAAATTATGATGTTATGTAAATTACTTAAAACATAAAATATTTACATTTTAAATATCTCTTCAAATTGTTGTAACAAAAGAACATTCTGTAATAAGGTGTTCTGTTCCACCTGATGTCTATTACCGCTTTCATACCCTGACTGTAGTTTTTTCAAAGCTGTGTACCTGTCATGTGTTTGCAAACACATTCATTAAAATTTTACCTCCCTCTTAAATATTTTCACATATAAAAATTATTCAGCTGGGCACACTTAATTTCACTTCACTGTTTAATATGATTTCACAGTATAATTTTGACACCATGATATGGGAATAGGGTATATTATTTACTTTGTGTACTAAGATAAATAATGTGACTAACCTTGATATATTTTAATATTTTAGGTGAAGAAGGCGTTGGCGGAGGTGGAGGGGGCGGTGGAAAACAAAGACATAACTCGTCTGACAAAAACATTCGGGAATATTTTTCCAAACATCCTTCTTCAAGTCCTGTTAGACATACTACTGGAGCTAAATCTCCATCACCTCAGGGCGCAAATTATCCTATGGTAATATTTTGAATTTTATACAATGACTTTCAGAATTTTATATAATATATAAAATTTAAGATTTTAAAGGTTTTGTAGCTTATTATTATATAATATTTAGTATATAGTGTGCAATATAATGCAGAGCAAACTATAAGTAGTTAATGGGTAATACACATTATATATATTACATTGCACATAGTAAACATTATAAATAAATTATTTCTGCCAATCCTTATTATCATATTATAGCTTGAACTATGACCATGTTATCATACCACACTAAATTTCGAAATCACTGGCCTGTTCTAGCTAGTAATTGATTTAAGTAAAAAACATTATAACTATAAAACATTATCACTTTGTTGTCAATTTCTTTTCTAAAAGTAACAGTAATTTAAAAATAAATATGATTCTTGTAAATAATTGTTATACTATATAATACTTTATTTTCCATCTTACTGACATATGAGTTTATTTAAAATATCACATTCTGCATTTTGAGTTTATTTAAAATTTAAATTAGAATTATATTTATTCCTGTAGCAGCAAAAAGCAGATATTGGACCATTTTGAAAATCAGCCTGGTTCTAGTGTTAGAAAAATAGGATCTGAGTTAGGCAGTAGTCACACAAGTGTCCACTGAATCTTATTAGTACAACAAATAACATTTGCTCAACATCCAAGATATCAGAATTTAAGCCTAGTGATTATTTTTGTATGCTTTTTGGGCCTTACACAGTATAAATGAAGGTTAAGAGTTTGTAAAATGTGATTTAAATTCATTCATAAAAACTGATTTACATTATTGTTGTGTATTATTGGCTGGTGAACATTAAAAAACCACTTGTATACTGTGAACAATGTGATACACGTTTGGGCCTCAAAGGTAAATATATATAATTGGGCCAGTATATATAAATTCATTTCTAAAAAGCGAGCAGTTTACCTCTAACCACTAGCAAAAAATATAGAGACTTGGTATTAGTATTCACCACTGTACCACTGACATAAAGACCAAAGTGCAAGGAAACTTAAATCAATAATTGGAAGCTAGTGACAGCTCATTTGTTAAATCTTACTCTGCTTTATTTTATTGGGGCGTTTTTTTAAATGTAAATAGATACAGAACCGCGAAGAAATATTACATTCACGTAGTTAAAAAATGTATTCACGTAGTTAAAAGACATATGATATTGGTAGGCATTAAATAATTTTGGTTTTTGTAATTCAATGTATTTGTGATTGTCCCCATAACTTCCACTGTGTACAAGCTTCTTTAAATCAATTTAATAAATGCGCTTTTTAAATTATTAATTTAATAAATGTGGCTTCGCAGACTACATATACATTAGGTTGATGCAATGCTAGAGCATTTTGAGTTTGGTATACATTTGTAATATTCTAATGGAATATCTTAATACGATTGTACAATTGGCAGACTTGTGAACATTATTAGTGTTCAGGAATTGTTGTGATGATTGAAATATGCCAGGAGCAATGTTCTTACTGCTAATAATAAAAAAAACCTGTTTACTCTAAGCGTTGGACTGCATTTTGTTCTTCAGTGACTTAGTATACATGATGAATAATGACAAAAATTTAAAACTTTATCTTTCATTTATTACCGTTATGCAAAATGGAGAGAAACCAAAATATTTTTTTATTTCATATAGTACCCACCGTCACCCTCGTCGTTGTTGCCTTCGGGAACTGACTTTTTACGTTCCACTGCGCAACCGCGACCACATACTTCTGTTAAACAGGTATTTTATTTTGTGAAGAAAAATTGAGTTTTTATTTAGCCGTTCATTGATAAAAAACAATATTATTGTTGACAGATTCAAACAGAACTGACATGTCAGAGGATACAGGAGTTAGAAACTCAAGCCTCTTCTGACTTAGAACTAAGAAATAATAGAATAGAAGAATTAACAAGGACTAATGAAGAGCTAAAACATCAGGTTCAAGCACAGAGCAAGGTCAGTTGTATTTATGTGATATATTTAATTTTATAAAGATTTGAAAGTTACCTAGTTTCATTTAAAAATAAAATTTTCGATATACTGGACCTTATATAAAAAAAGTAAGAATATACAATTTCATAGTTTAAATTATATAACTACTTACTTAAGTAAGTAAGTAAGTAGTTATATAATTTAAACTATGAAATTGTATATTCTTACTTTTTTGTTAATTCATAACTAATTTTTACAGGTAATAGAGCAACATAAATCACACATTAACAAATGTATAGAAGTGGTTAAGAAATTGTTAAATGAAAAGAGTTCTATAGAAAAGAAGGAAGCCAGACAGAGGTGTATGCAAAATAGACTAAGGCTTGGTCAGTTTGTCACCCAACGCGTCGGTGCCACTTTTCAAGAGAATTGGACTGATGGATATGCATTTCAAGAACTAACAAGGTGTGTGTGTGTGTGTGTTACTCAAATATTTAAACTACCGATTTCCTATTTTAAAACATATCTATAATTTTAAATAATATTGAATTGTATTCCTATGATATCCTGGACGTCAGTCTGAGCGAGATTAGAATGGCTCTCCAGCACCTTAAAAACGGCAAGTCCCATCCCCGGACGAGGATGGAATTACAGCGCAGCTTCTGAAAGCGGGTGGAAAACCGGTACTTAAAGTCCTTCAGAAGCTCTTTAATTGCGTCCTTCATCGAGGCACTACTCCAGAGGCGTGGAGCAGAAGTGCGGTGATCTTGTTATTCAAGAAAGGCGATAACGCTCTCTTGAAGAACTACAGACAGATTTCCCTTCTGAGCCGCGTCTACGTGCTGTTTTTGAGGGTCATTACGAATCGTCTCACATGCAGACTCGACGACTTCCAGTCTCCTGAACAAGCCGGTTTCCGAAAAGGCTTTAGCACCATAGACCACATACATACCCTTTGGCAAATTGTACAGAAGACCGAAGAGTACAATCCGCCACTTTGTCTTGCGTATGTGGAATATGAGAAAGTCTGATTCTGTCTTAGCGGTGCTGCAGTCCCTCCAGAGGTGCCAATTGGACTGTCGGTATATCGAAGTGCTGAAGTGTTTGTACACTAGGGCCACGATGGCAGAACAGAACCAGAGTACGAAACCCATCCAACTGCAGAGAGGAGGAAGACAGGGTCTTTTTATATAGGATAGGGGGTGACATACGAGCACACAGTCCACCTGATGGTAAGTGGTTACTGTGACCCATAGACATCTACATCTATCCTCAATAAAGACTCAAGATGCAGATGCGTTGTCACCCGTGAGGACTAAGATGGAATGCCTCTTTTCCAGTAAAAAGGGTCTCCGGTTCTCTACACTCACCATACGAAACACAACAGCGTTGAGCTGCTATTTTACGCTGGTTTTCTGTGAGAGCGTGGTCCTTCCCCGGTCGAGTCGCCCCATTCGTGCTACAACTATACTACTAATATAGCTGCAGCATGGCTCTACCACGTAAAATCGTAATATCCCCGAATCTCTTCATCGCTGCATTGGAAGACGTTTTCGAGCTACTGGACTGGAAAGGATATGGTATTAACGTCAATGGCGAGTACATCACTTACCTTCGATTTACCGACGATATAGTCCTTATGGCAGAATCACTGGAGGACCTGAGCGCTATGCTCAATGACCTCAATAGCGTCTCCCAACGGATAGGTCTTATATGAACATGGACAAAACAAAAATTATGTTTAACATCCATGTCACTACTGGTAGTTGTTGAGAGCACTAAGTTCGAAGTTGTTGACAAATATGTTTATCTGGGACAAATAGTCCGACTAGGTAAGTCCAACTTCTACCGAGAGGTCAATGGACGGATTCAACTCGGCTGGGCAGCGTTCGGGAGATTACGACACATCTTCTCGTTGGTATACATACATACCTCATAACTAGATTGTTCAACCAGTGTGTGTTGCCAGTGATGACCTATGGATCTGAGACGTGGTCTTTCACTGCTGGCCGTATGAGGAAGCTCAAAGTCGCTCAGCAAGCTATGGAGAGGATATGCTCGGCGTTTCTCCGCGTGATAGACTTAAAAACGAGGATATAGCTCGAAGAACCGACAACCAATGGGGAAGAAAGGTTCTCGAGTGGCAGTCTCATACCGGCAGGTGTAGGGCGTCCCCCGCTAGATGGAGTGACGACCTAGTAAGACATGCAGGAAGTCATTGGATACAGGTGGCTCAGAACCTGCTTTGTGGCATTCCTTGGGAGGCCTATGTTCAGCAGTGGACTTGTGAAGGGCTGTAATGATGATGAATGATGATACAAAAGTTGGGTAACAGGGACTTGATGATTAATGATGATGATGATGGAAGTGTCTGTAATATCTCAATAACTGACTTTTATTATGCTAAGGGGGCCTATTTAAATGCTGTTAAGACATGAACAACTATTTTAAAACTTTTTGTCTGTCGGTTTGGGCTAATTTTAGGAACAGTCGTGAGTTATCTAAGCTATAATTTATCCCAAAAACATGCAGGATTTTTTGTGCATTAGAAAAATTATTGATAAAAGAAATAATTTTTGATGATTGCACATTATATGCATTTATATAAAATTTAAGGGTTTGTTTGTAATTTCTAAATAACTGGGCACTATTAAGCCTAAGGGTTATTTGCATGCTATTAAGATATCAATAATTATTTTTAAAATTTTGTTTGTCTGTGTCTGTGAAGCAAATTCAAAACATAAAGAGAGCAATTGCTGGAATGGTCTGATTAATTATCCTAATTTTTTTTTTAAAAACATATAAGAGATAATTTTTTGGTTCGCTATTTTACACAAAAAGTTCTTTTCACCTTATCTGCTTTTGCTTAAAGTTTTAATGTAAAATCGTTTTGTTTTTAAATCGATTTCTAACATTTTTTTACTTCAACACCAATTCACAACAAAACTGAATTTTAAAGGATAAGGTAATATTAAGACCATTTTTATGTAAACATTTTCCCATATCTCACATAGTGTTCGAGGTTATAGCAAAAACAGCAATTGTTTTTTGATGAATTAACAAAAACCCACTGACCACTATTATTTGCATTGGTTTTAAATTGAAATAAAAATTTGGTAGTTGACACCATCATAACAGCATCATTTATTTTGAATTCGCTACTTTTAGTAGGTAATGTCTTAAAACCAGATCAATTTGCTTTTTTTTTAATTAAATTATACTATATAAAGGACTGCTGATATTCTTCGAGAAGATTTCATAGTTCGAACAATCGTAATATGCAAAATACCTGCCCAATGCAAAATACGCGATTAGACGTGGAGTTGCGGAAAATAGGCCGTCGTAAATTAATAATTGATGAAATCGAAAAAATGATCTAAAAGCTTTTAGAAAAATTTACTTCGCAAATATCCGCATTATAAAATAAAATGATGTGTCTTACCTAGTATGAAGAGCACCTCCCGCCCTCCCTCAAGGCGCTAAGACTTAGCAGTTAGCCACCATAGAGTCTATATCACCTGAGGATGCCTCGTGTAGAGGCGAAACACGTGTCGTATTATCGTCAGTGGTGTGTCTTGCCTAGTGTAGTGGTGTTGGGAGTAGCGGTGCTGGGATTAGTGGTGACGGGGATAGTGCACGCAATTGAGGGAGGGCGGGAGGTGCTCTTCATACTAGTTACCTAGGTAAGACACATCATTTTATTTTATAATGCGGATATTTGCGAAGTAAATTTTTCGAAAAGCTTTTATACAATGGATTTCCGCAAAGTAACGCCTGATTCTATTAATTATAGAAAAAATGATCACTGAAGTGTTCAATGTCCCAATGCCATAGTTAACTCTGACTATGTTCAACTTAAAATTATTAATGTATTGATGATGCAAATTAAGCAGAAAGAAAAAAACATAAATAAAACAAATTTTTACGTTTAATTTAACCTTTTAATTCCCGACGTTTCGGGTGCTACAGCACCCATGGTCACAGGACGGACTGGGGTGTTTGACATCCCCATGTCATAGGTAGCCCGGCTATCTTCGATTTTTGATTATTAAACTAACTACTTTATTGTATATATACTAACTTATAGTAATCTTAAAATCTTGCAGAAGCATGCTTCGGTTGTGATTAAATTTTATTAATACAATTGGTATTCTTTTATTTAGCCCAAACCGCTTCATTCTTCTTCTTATGACTAGGATCTTTGTTTCTTATTGAATCACATACTAAAAATTCTTATACATGGCACCAATTTAGTTGGTAAATCTTTCAATGTTCAGGCTACACTTTTATGGAACTCCTTTTGGCCTGAAGATTAAAATCCTGGTACACAAATACTTTAAAGGCATAAAGATGTAAGGGATAACTTTATAAAATGGCCTATACTTTTGTTTTTCAGTTTTGTTTTGTGCAAACAATTTCGGGAATATAAAAATTTACTTCAAGTTTCATTTAATTAGTTGTGTTCACGTAAATATAAAAAATATTTACTGAAATTGCTAGGTTTTTGCCACATTTACATTAGATTTATTGGTTGCATTAGGCGGCAAGAAGAGATAACAGCAGAAAAAGAAGAAATTGACCGCCAGAAAAAGTCATTATTAAAAAAGAGGCCATCAAACAACGAAGGTGGTGGAGGGCGGGGTAAACGCACCTCTACCGTGTCTGCACCAACAACACCTCAGCCTCAACCATTACACAATGGAACTGACGCGCCCACCTTTCTTAAGCCTGATCCACTGCCAAGTATGACATGGCAGGAGTACTATGAGGCTGATGAGATTCTAAAAGTGAGTATGATAATTGTTAAAAACTGATTAGTTTTTCGAAATTTTATTAATTATTATATAAAACATTAAAAATGCTTTATAGGTTTAAAGATTAATATTTTTTTTGTAGTTAAGACAAAGCGCACTAAAGAAAGAGGATGCAGATTTGCAGTTAGAAATGGAGAAATTAGAAAGGGAGAGAAATCTTCACATACGCGAATTAAAGCGAATACACAATGAAGATCAGAGCAGATTCTCGGCTCATCCAGTTTTGTCCGAGAGGTAAAATGAATTATTTAATTAAGCAGTAATTTTAGTTTAAGTAATTTTGTTTTCTATGTTGTGGAGTTATTTAGGACAAATGCCAACTCCAAGTGTACTAAAAGCCTTGTATATTTTGGTAGCATTAAGCTTCATTTATGCAGTTTGGGAGATGCTCTTAGTAGCTTAAAATTCTATACTTAAAGTATTTCAACTCTAAAGTTATTGTTGTAATCTTCTAGTTGGAATACTTGACTATATTGTAGTTTTTGCGTTAAAATCTGAAGCAAATTACTTTGTTTAAGCAATATAGAAGTTTTACCCAAACTCATTATTCTAGGCAATAAACGCATCATCAAAACCTTCATTTTTATTCATTTTGAAAATGTTACTCCCCATGATCATATTAAGAATTTGGGTAAATTATATCTTACTTCCATACGAAACACAGCAGCATTGAGCTGCTACTTTACGCTGCTGTTCTGTGAGAGTGTGGTCCTACCCTGGTCGAGCCGACCCATTTGTGCTACATCCATAATATAGCTGCAGCGTTAGACTGGAACAAAGCTTACAATCAATGCTATCTATCACATGTGAATTACATCAGATACGTACATGGTATGTTAGGATGTGAGAGAACCTTTTACCAAATATAATTGCACACTTGATGTAATATAATGCATATCTTAAACTTCTAAAAACTGAGAATTATCCTTGATAGTATAATTTAGAAGTTTAAGATTTTTTTATAGGATAGGGTGACAAACTAGCTCACAGTCCACTTGATGGTAAGTGGTTGCTGTAACCCATAGACATCTACATTTATCCTCAATAAAGAATCAAAATGCAGATGCGTTGTCACCCGTGAGGACTAAGATGAAATGCCTCTTTTCCAGTAAAAAGGGTCTCCAGTTCTCTACACTCACCATACGAAACACAGCAGCATTAAGCTGCTATTTTATGCTGGTATTCTGTGAGAGCGTGGTCCTTCCCCGGTCGAGCCGACTCATTCGTGATACAACTATACTACAAATATAGCTGTAGCGTGGCTCTGCCACGTACAATAATATAGGATGTAATAAAATGCAGCCAGCCATAAAACATTTATAAAAAATGTGTTGTTCAATGTCCACAGATACTTACTGCTGATGCTCCTCGGCAAGGGTGGATTTAGTGAAGTGCACAAGGCATTTGATTTAAGAGAACAGCGTTATACTGCTTGCAAGGTTCACCAGCTTAACAAAGACTGGAAGGAAGACAAAAAGGCCAACTATATCAAGTGAGTCCGTATATGAGCCCCACTCACATTGAAATTTTTTTATATTTATTTTTTTATTGTTACTTATTTGTTGCTATTAAAAATTCGTACTGTCAATTATTATCTTTATCCTCAATTAGAAATAATCACGAATAATTTTTACAAAATTTTTGCAAATTTAATAATTCCGAAAAATTAAAAAGCTTCAATGAATATGATCTATTAAATTTTTGTTTCTTCTATTTTCTCTTTATTTACTTTATATACTTTGTTAGACTTCATTATCCTATTTATGTAATATTTCGGTACTTTGTTCCAGACATGCATTACGGGAATACAATATTCACAAGGCTTTAGATCATCCAAGAATTGTGAAATTGTATGATGTGTTTGAAATTGATGGAAATTCATTTTGTACAGTTCTTGAATATTGTAATGGTCATGATCTCGATTTTTATCTTAAACAGGTATAAAATAACATATTTTAATTAACAAAGTCATATTGGCTATTTTGACTATGGTGCAATTTTCAGAAAATGATAAATTATGCAAGATATTTTATATGACTGAAAGTATGAGCGAGTATCCAGAAAATTACCCATTGTTCACCTTTCTCATAAGATAGAAAGGTGGTAGTGGGATATTACTGCTAATCCTGACCCAGAAGTATTCTATATATATACAGATAGCAAAGTAGAACAAATTATGTTCTACTTGGCATTTGAATATTCGTTTTACTTGGTTCAGGACTCAATACAATAGTGCATACTTGCATTGGCAACAAGGGTCCATAGTCATTCTAAATAATTTATTTTATAAAAAACTTACTCTTACAAATTATTAGTATACCTAATTAGGAATTTTATATTTTTAGCATAAAACTATTCCTGAGCGTGAAGCACGTTCGATTGTGATGCAAGTAGTGTCAGCATTAAAGTATTTGAATGAGATAAAGCCGCCTGTGATTCACTATGACTTGAAGCCTGGCAACATATTGTTGACGGAGGGCAATGTTTGTGGTGAGATAAAAATTACCGACTTTGGTCTTTCAAAGGTGATGGATGAGGAAAATTATAATCCAGACCACGGTATGGATCTCACTAGCCAAGGCGCGGGCACTTACTGGTAATTGAAAATTTTATTGTTGAACAATTGTGGACTTTCTTTATAATGAGATTTTTAGAAATACATGTTTCTTCTTGTGTATTTACTAGGTACCTGCCACCAGAGTGCTTTGTAGTTGGCAAGAACCCACCAAAGATCAGTAGTAAGGTGGATGTGTGGAGTGTTGGTGTTATCTTCTACCAGTGCCTTTATGGCAAGAAGCCTTTTGGTCATAATCAGAGTCAAGCAACAATATTAGAAGAAAACACAATTTTAAAGGCAACTGATGTTCAGTTTGCCAACAAACCCACAGTCAGTAATGAGGCTAAGGTAATTAATTATATGTTTCAATAGCTAAGTAATAAAATTAGTAGTATTTAAAAATATCCATCTCTCTGAAAGACGAAATATGCTTTATACCATACTGATCATCATAATAGAATGTTAAAATAGGAAAGCAATAGGGAGTGTTTGTCGCAGGGTTAATAGATAACATAAGTAAATGTGGAATGGCTTTCATGACACAACAATCTGGGCTCAAAGGAATTGGATGTATCAAATAGGGCTATATGGCGCGACAATTTTGGAGATACTCTAGGTCTCTACAGAAGTTTACTACCGAGGCCGACAAGGCAACATTTATACTGGAATTATTCATTCTCATTTTGAACAAATTATTAAGTAACATTTTAAATTAATATCCACATATTATTACTTGAGCGGAAGGGCTGTGCCCCGCTAAAAACAGAGTTTATTATACATCAATGTTCTATTCGTGTTTTTTACAATATAAACACAGTATTTTAATAACTAAAAATTTAATTTAGGTTGAGGTGGAATAAAATTATCGCCAGATCAAGACAATCACTGTTTAGTATCTTGATAAGTATAGCTTCGAAATTACTCTATGAACTGTTTTACCGACTAAGAGAATTTCTTTACGAAATTCTCTTAGCCAAAACAGTCATTAAAAAAATCTTATAAGTGAAAAAAATTTATCAAAGTTGCCAGGTTAACGGATACTTAAAATTTTTGGTGAAATTGAGCAAAATTCGAAGTACTCTCATTGTATTCTATAAATATTGGCTTTTAGGTAGTTATATCTATTTAACGTACAACTGGTGAAATTAAAAATATGAAAACATTATCAATATAGTCGAAGTCAATTAAATAGGCATTATTAAGAATAACTCAAAAACTACTGCTCAGATTTTGAACAAATTTATATGGGACCACATGAGAAGCAACAGCTTTCAAATAACAAAAGAATCATTAAAATCCGATCACCTAGAAAAAAAGTTTTGAGGTAACATACAAAAAAAAATATAGTCGAATTTAGAACTTTCTCCTTTTTTTGAAGTTGGTTGAAAAGAAACTTTTTTCAAATAAAGAAACAAAAACATAACCTATTAATTGTAAGCTGGGGAAAGACGTCAGAAAGAGAAAGAGCAGTTTGTCAGAGGGAACAGCAGATATGTTAGTCTTTTTCAAAGTTATTTTTGATGGATAAGATCAGCCCGCTACTACAGACTAGGAATATATTTTATAGAATATCGAGATGCGGGCTACTCTCCGCCTGTCCTTGAGGCTGGCATGATGGTTTCAACTGAATCAGTAACACTGTACAGTACAGTACTCCATGCACGAAAGGAGTTACGTTTTTTTTTTAACTATTATAAGCCAGTGTTGGACTACTATATCCCACCTGATTTTAAGTAATGATGTAGCCAAAAAAAGAAGATTGTAAAGCACACTGACTCCGCTTGACAAAAGTGAAAGGCTATATTGGGTCAGAATCTGCCCTGTGACGTACTTAAAATGTATTTTTTTGCTAATTGCAGAGTTTTATCCGAGCGTGCCTGGCGTACCGCAAGGAGGAGCGCATCGACGTGTTCGGGCTGGCGCGGCACGAGTACCTGCAGCCGCCCATGCCGAAGCCGCGCGGTGCGGGCGCCCCCGCGGCGTCGGCGGCGGCGGCGGCGCCCGCCTTCAACGCCGGCCTCTTCGGCGCCGGCTCGTCGTCCTAGCCGCGCCGCCGCCGCCCCCGCCACCCGGCGGCGCAGTGAACCGAGTGCCCTGTACATATGTGACTCTCCGTGCCGCGAGTGACCCGCGCCACAGTGACCCGCGTCGTGAACTATGCGCGTCTTGCTCAGTGCCCAAAGGATCGGACTTTCGCGTCGCACTCGAAGACGGTACTCCGTCGCATACGGAGCGGACTGTCGCGTTGTGTCTGGAAACGCAGTCTTTCAGTGTCCCGCGGATCCGCTTTAGTGTCGTTCGAGAACGCCGTGTGTCCTATTGTCCTCGGGGGGACCATCGCCTCGAGGACGCTCGCCCGAGTTTCTCGTGAACGCCAATTCCTTCCTCGGTGCGCTTGGGCACGCCCAGCAGCCCTTTCGTGTCTGGAGCCTTTCGAGTCTTATAGACATACTTTTTAGTTTTGAAACTTTGTCAGTTATTCAGAGTTGTAAAATGACTAAATATCATTTACAGATTAAAATTGTTTAAGAATTATGCTTACTGTTGACTGTATTTATTGAGCAGGTGATAAAATGTGATTCTCCATTTATGAATGGTATTATCCTTTTATCACTAGAGAAGAATCCTTGGGACTATCCCTTGCATATTATATAAGTTATCCCTATTAAAAAGTTAAAAATATCTTCAGTTTTTTTATTTACCTAACTACTAACTTGTATGCATAAATAATCAAAAACGCCTCTAAGGATTTCGATGAAACCTTAAGCGAGTTAGGGGGGGGCAAAAAATGATCTGACTAGGTCTCATTGCTCAGAAATTCAGTTTTCTCCGTGTTTTCACGCTTATAGCAACAAACCGTGGAGTAAAGAGTAAGCCTTAAGCCTGGTTTACGTTTTGAGAAGTGACAAGTCAAGTGGCAAGTGCAACTGCCAAATCACAAGTGCTTAGTGCGTGTTAACAGGCAGTGAAAAGAGTGCCTGCTCTATTCTTTGACAACTATTATTCTATTCTTTGCTCTGCTGTACCCCCACTTTCCCTTTACTCGCATATCGTCCCCGCTCTAGCCGTTAAACTGTTTTACCTGCGTTAACCTTGGCGGGCAATGCACTGATCTTTGTATGTCTGGGGTAACACAGTTTAGTAACATAGTAAAAGGGTCTTCAGTTAATCTCAGTGCAGAATAATATTCCTGAGTATCCTCGACTGCTAACTCTTGTAGAAGTTCATAACTTGCCCCATGGGTTGTTCATTTAGCAATCCAGTTCTGTTGCAACACTCATTGTGATCTAGCCTGTTTTTGAGCTATTTCTTTCTTCGATATGGTCCAAAAAATGTTTATGACTTTTTTGATTACTTCACAAACTTGTAGGTGCAGTTGCTCATCCATTTTAGGTACTAGAAATACCATACAGTTCGGAATTCCACATAATAATGACCTTACTCTGCATCTCCACTTGCCACGTGTGTGAACACCTACTTGCTAGTTGTCGCTTGACATTGTTTACATGTCAAAAATAAATACAGAAAGTGATGTGTGAGTGAGGCACTTGTCACTTTACAAAATGTAAGTCAGTCCTTACTTACTCTTTTGCTTTTTTAGATGTTTCGATTTGTCAACTCATCAAATTTATCTGCCGACTTCCAAAAAGGAGACTGTACTCAATTCAACTGTATGTTTTTTTAATGTGTGTTACCTCATCACTTTTACTGGGTGAACCGATTTCGATGATTCTTTTTTATTTGAAAGCTGGTACTGGTACGTCTCGTGTGGTCCCATATAAATTTGATCAAGGCCAGACCAATAGTTTTTGAGTTAATACTTAATAACTTATATTGAAGTTGGCTAAACAAAATTTTTACTTTTAAATTATTATATACCTAAATATCTTGTATTTATTTTTGACTTTGTCTGGGCACTTGTAACCTTGTTGTGAACATGTTTTCAATAAAATTTATTTTATCAGCATAGGAGCAACTTTCAAATTTCAAATATGGTATGAAATACACACTTTAGGACTGGATTATCATATGCTTAGCAAGAGAATTGTATGCATTGGAGGTCAAGCAAGCAACCTCAATAGCATAAAGCTGACACTACTCAAAAACATGCAAATGCGAAATATTCATCTATGACACAGGCAGAGAGAAAGTCTATTGTTGAAAGGCAAAAAGAGAAGTTACGTGGACAGCAGAACGCGTTCACGTAGCAATCTGATACTCAGAAGGCTACAACACTTGCAAGTTATGTTGCAGCTTACAAAATCGCTAGAAGTAACAGAACGTTATCGGATGGTGAATTTGTAAAAGATTGCATGGTGGCTGTAAGCAACATTATTTGTCAAAAAAAAAGTAAAGAGTTTCAATCTTTAGCTTTATCACGGAGAACGATAACAGATCGAATTGACGCCATCGCTGAACAATTATCGTCACACCTGGAAAAAAATTGTATTGGCCCCTCCACACCACTCGCGAAGTTGATCGAAGTTGGGCGAAGAGAATAGTGTAGAGAGGTACTTCGATTTGCTTCGTACAACCTCGCTTCGCCTCGGGCGACTTTCGATCGCTGTCTGTTTTATGCGCCAGAGTCAAAGGACTTTGCGAACAGTGTGACCATATTTGGCAGGTTCCTGACATTTTGGCAGGATTGCCCTCTTATTTTAGCCTCTGGCATGATCGGTTGACGTTTTATAAAACCTGGCAGTATTTTGCAGTATTGGGGTATTAAAAATAGATTTCATTATGGCAACTTAAAATGACGAAAATGATAACCCTAGATAATTCGCCAGTATGTTGAGGATTTCCTTGTATTTCTCGATTTCTCGTATTATGTTTGTATCACATTCAATAAACAACTTTAAAAATGTTTGTGTATAAAGTTGATAATCTTAAAACGAGTTAACACGAGTTGGTTAATATTTCAATCAGTCATAAAAGAGACGTAATTTAGTTTGGTATCGCATTAGATTTCATGGTAATAAGATCTTGTTAATAATATTTCGTGGACGATAGTAATTATAGGGAGCGGTGATGAAGCGAAAATATGAAAGGGCATATAAAGCGAGGTGGGAGCAAGATATTTTACTTTCATCATGGATCTCCCAAGGTAAAGATAATAAAGACTGTATAACTGCTAATTGGCACCCCGGCTGTCCGCTTTAAAGGAGCTTGCCAAAATATGAGTGGATTCAACATGCGAAAGAATATTCTCTCAAATAAATTTAATTAAGACTAAAACACGAAACAGATTTATAAACAAACATTTATCGTCTATCTTGTACGTTAAACAAGACATTGGTGAGCATGGCGATTGCATTGCATTCAAACCAACGAAAGATCTTTAATTTTAATTTAAAAAAATATAGCATTTATATTTTTACTTTTCTTAGTTTAGTACAATGGTAAATAAAGTTGGCAGTATTTAGGCATTTTTCACTACAGACTTTAGCAGGATTTGGCAGGTTTTTAACCAAATTAAGGCAGGATCTGTATTTTAAAGATGGTCACACTGTTTGCGAAGTACCCCGAAGTTACACGAAGCGTCTCACTACACTACTCGGCGTACGCTAGTTATATATTAATTTTGCTATATTACGACGCATCCACGTCGTACTGTTCACACAATTAGGTACCTGTAGCAGCTGCCTCTTGAACGTTATTCATGTTAAGGGTGCGGGAGACTCAAGACGACTGAGCTCCGCGAAGTAGCACGAGTGAAGAAATTTACGATGAATTTGATAAGGAGCAGGTTTTCTAAGAAATAAAATGGATCCGCTGGTATGTACGTTCCACCGATACGAGTGTGGACGTTTCTGCCAAATGGGCAGCACAAGAAATCCTTCAGTTAATAATAAAATGGGCCTTTAGTGAATCGTTACCCCCTGTACATCGGTTATACTTCAATATTGCTTGAACCATTTGCATCTCGGTTGAACTATGCGAGAGATTTTCCAAACTCAAATTAATTAAAAGTTATCTTCGATCTACAATTAATCAAGAGCGATTTATTAATCTGTCCGTACTTTCAATTGAAAGAAAAATTTCGAAAGAAATAGATTTCACTGAAGTTGTCGAATTCAGTAAAATGAAGTCACGAAAACACATAATAAGTATTATGCTATATTTGCTACATACTGAAAGAAAAACTACGTATTACCACAAATAAATAAATACTTTATTTTACTAGGTAAATAGTTTTTTGCCGATCGTTACGTATTTTATTTTCCTCATCCATATCTATATTCTATGTATGTTCATTTAAGTCGAATTTAATTTTTACTTGCAAGATTTCTACTATTATTTAGTATTGTTACGAGCTTGGGGTTCGAGACAATTAAAAACTGCCGATTGAATTACCAAAATTGACACTTTAATTACACAACACTAATTACAATCTAAAACCACACTAATAATAAAACACAATTGTACTACTGATCACTTAAGTTCGCAGGCAGTTGTTTCGCTTCGAAGTATTCTCTTGTATCGCCAATTCAATACTGCCTTTCCGTATATACACTCTTATCTATGATACTGCCTCGGTCGTGGTCTATACCGGCCTTATATAGGGCCTCAGATATTTTCCAGAACCTACTGTAGCGACATCTAGAAATTTCGAGTACATATCGGTCCCGAAATTTCTGGAAGGATCTTGACTACTATTTCTGCTACTCGACACCAGAGGGTGCTAGTGTAACTAGTGTTGCCATGTACAAGACATTAATAGTGACGCGCAACAGTATGTTATATCATAAACACTTATACATACAAAAGTGAAGTACCTATATAAAAAGCTTGTAAGATTAGATCAACTTCTTAAACTAAGGGCCTCATTCAGCTTTGGCTCTGACTGACTTAGACCGCCACTGGAAACGTGTTTAAATGTTCCACATAATGATAAAAAAACGTAACTGGGTTTACCTGAAAAGTTTAAAAAATATACAAACCATAAACACAAAAACAAAGTCAATGTTTTACCAGTTTTATTAACACGTATTTCAAAAACACAATATTTTTAAAGTTTCGAAATCTGAATCTGAAACCTTTCTAA